ACACACACACAGAGTCATCATTTTGTGTACCGTCATTGAGTCGGGACTGACCCATAGCTGACCCTCCTTCAGAGGCAATAAGTCACACAGGAGGAGATTGCCCATCCTTCTTCCATGGGGAAGGAGAACCTGGTAGAGTCCAATCACATGCCTTTGGATTGATAGCACGATCTCTTACCACTAGGCCACCAGTGCTTTATGTATAGGCTGAAAGATAGAGTGGGAGCTCTGGTGGCTCTGTGGTTAAGAAGCTACACTGCAATTCCAAGGGTATGTGGTTCAAACTCTCCAGTTGTTCTGTGTGCAAAAGATGGGCAATCTCCTCTCATGTAATTTACTGTCTCTGAAAACACGCTGGAGGGTCAATTATGATTAGATTCCAACTCACTGACATGCAACAACACAGAGAGCTCTGATGGGCCTAGTGGTAAGAAGCTACACTGCAACTTAAAGGCATGCAGTTCGAATCCACCAGCTGTTCTGTGGGAAAAGGATGGACAATCTCCTCCTATGTTGTTAACTGCCTCTGAAAATCCACTGGAGGGTCAGCTAGGGGTCAGTTATGACTTGTTGGTACACAACAACCGTCAGAGAATATATTTTTAAGTTTTTCTACAGCCAGGCCTCAAGGATACTGTGGGCTCTGTTTCAGACCACTACAATACAAGAGTATCACAACAGAGCAAGCCACATGGATTTGTTTGATTTCTAGTACATGTAAGGTTACGCTTACACTGTATAAGCGTTCTTAGTACAAGTAGGCACGTACCATTGGAGCAACGGGCTGGGAGACAGAATCGGAGCAAGGCTGCCACAAACCTTTCACAGTTAAAAAGTGCATTATCTGTACACTCAATGAAACAAAGTCTGCCTACCACTATTGTAGAAATAGAAGGGTAACTACTAAACCATGTTTGAGGATCCAAGGGGGGAAGCATAGGATCAGAGAGGTAAGGATGAGCAGGGATGTAATTATAGGGTCACACAATTGGATGGGTAGAAGGAGGCATGAGTAAAGGAAATAGGAAAGATCTCATGTAAAAAACAATGTATATGAACTTTGTAAGTAAACTAGCATAAAATAAAAATATTATTTTTTTAAAAAACCGAAGTCTGTCTATACTACAATTACATTTTCATTTATTCATTTTAATTGAGAATATGTACTAAAATCTCTTTTTTTAAAGTTTTTGTTTTCTTTTTTTTTAATTTAGGTTGTTTATTTTACATTTCAATGAACATCTACAGAGATTTTGG